TAATGATTCTAAACATAAAACATAAGAATACATAACAAAACAAATAATAATGGCAAAATAAAAAAAAAAATTATTTGTTCTTTTCTCTTCCTCTTCCCTCTCCAAAAGCATTTCTGCTTACTTTGGCGGGTGTCTGTACAGTCGTCATTTAAAAGAAATGCAAACGAAGCACACCAACAACACAGAGCAGCGCTGTAACAAAACTGATGCTGCAAAAGCACTGGAGAGATTCCCCCTCTCCCTCCCAAAGAAAAAAAAAAAGCATATAAATGCTGTTGTTGAAATGTTGAAGAAGAAAAAGAAAAGAAGAAAAAATAAGAAAAAAAACCAAGTTATTAGCAAGTTTATTCGTTTTTTGAACAAAATAAGTGCAGTTTTTTTTTTTTTCTCGAAAGCGTCATAGTTTACATGCCAAACAAATAAATTAATTTCCTCATGCTTTTTTTCATGTATCAAAAATTTCTGCTAAATCAACAACAATTTTCTTCCCACCAAAAATGACAGAGTTACAAAACCAAACTTGATGGATTGTTTACCACAATAAATTCCTGGTACTGGTTTGAGCTTAATTACTTTGTTCTAATAGCCCAAAGACTTGTAAGTTAAGATAGCGGTGGTGATTTGGGACTAGGCTCAGTGTAAAGCCGCTGCTGGAACAATGGTTTTACACTGGTTCCCAGTAGACAATGCCATCAGAAGAAGAAACAACTCGTCGTTTCGACTTCAAGTTGACGGTCATCTGGGAGAATATCAATTTGATTGGCCTCCTGGACAGAAAAAATTGCAAAACAAAAGAAGTAAAACATTTTTTTGCTCTTTCAAGTTTACTTGCCTAAAAGGCGAACAATTATAGATCAAGAAAAATCCGCAAAGAGCAAATAGATAGGCCAAAAACAGCAAGAATAAAAAAAAAAACGAAAAGAAAAATAAACGAATACTTGATTAATGTGTCAATTTTTCTACCTCATTTTCTAATTCTCAAAAACCAAAATAAAATGTAACAAGTCATCCATTACATGAACACACATCACATTCGTTTTTTACGAGTTTCTATTGTTTTTTTCTCATACAACACTCTTTAACACTTAAAGTTTTTCAAAATGAAAAAACAGTTACAACAACAGTGATAGACTTCATAATAATTACACACAAAGATCCCAGTTTCCCACTTGCATCTATATATAAGCGAATTTTTCCTTCTTCTTTTCGTTCTCCTCCGTCCCTGTACTCCCACAATTTAACACTAACAAATATCGATAGACTTTTTTCAGCCACATTTCATAGCGATTCTCATCCTTAATAACAGCAAATGCGAGAAAAAATGGGAGAAAACAGACAGTACAAACAAATAAACGAAAAAAAATTTCCCTCCACCCCTGCCCCCCCCCCCCCCAAAAAAAAAAA